AGAAATTGCATATTTCTTATGAAACAATACGTAAACATCTAAGGAATATGGGAAAACTCCATAAAAAGTTGTTTGGGTGCCTCACAAACTCTGCGATGATCATTGTTTCCAACGTGTGAACGTTGCTTCGTCTCTTCAGGCGCGTGAACCATTTCTGGACAGAATTGTCAACGGTGGTGAAAAATGGATTCTTTATGCAAATATTAAACGCCAAAAACAATGGCTCAGTCCTAGACAAAAACCACTTCCGACCCCCAAACGTGGACTCCATCTGCAGAAAGTGATGCTTTGTATTTGGTGGATCATCAAAGGAGTAATTCATTACGAACTCAATCCACAGCGAACTGTCAATGTAGAGGTCTACAGTCAGCAACTGGAACGATTAAATCAAGCCCTTCATCAGAAATGCCCTTCACTCGTCAATCGGCAAAGTATTCTTCTTCTCCACGACAACACACGTCTACATGTGACACGTCTGACGCAACTCAAGATTATGGAATCGGGTTGGGAAGTTCTCTCCCACCCACCATATTCTCCAGATATGGCATCATCAGATTACCAACTTTTTCGTTCGCTGCAACACCATCTTAATGGGAAAACGTATGCAAATCTGGAAGGTGTTATAGAGGACATCGACATGTTTTTTTTCTTCAAAGCCAAGTGATGTCTTTAATCAGGGCATTAACAACCTGATTGTAAGACGGAAAAGTATCATCGATAAGAATGGAGACTATTTCATTTTATGTTTTGACGACCTAATACATTCCATATCAGTTTCCTGTTTTGCATTAAATAAAGGAACGATAAATATCGTTATGGTAGTGGTAACAACTAATGTCGTTATCCTAATGGTAACAACTAATATCGTTATCTTAGTGGTAACAACTAATATCGTTATCGTATGGGTAACAACTAATGTCGTTATCTTAGTGGTAACAACTAATGTCGTTATCCTAGTGGTAACGTACAATATCGTTATCGTAGTGGTAACAGCTAATATCCTTATCTTAATGGTAACAACTAATGTCGCTATCTTGGTCGTAATAGCTGATATCGTTATCTTGGTGGTAATAGCTAACTAATATCGTTATCTTGGAGGTAATAGCTAACATTGTTATCTTGGTTGTAATAGTTAATATAGATATCTTGGTTGTAATAACTAATATCACTATGAATGCGTACTTATGGAAAGACATAGAAATAGAGTAGAAACTTGTCAGATGTTCATAGAAACTGCAAATAAATAAATACCATTCCAGTGAAACGAACATCATAATTATACAACAACCTAGACCTTTGAAGACCATCTTGTGTTTTTAAAGACACAATATTAGTGTTTGATTTTCGTTTAATCATTTTTGTTCTCTTCTAAAATCAATCTCATATCTTTTAATAGCGTGTTCACTATTTTCACTTTGATAGAAGACATATTTTCACATTTTATATAACCAAATCATGTACTAATGATCAGCTAAAGGTATAACAGTTCCCATATAATTAGCAACATGAGGATGTGTATAACGACATTTACCGTAAACGCTTTGAAATCCCAAAATTCAGTATTCAAATAAGCACTTTATGATGATCTCTCCTTTCACTCAACTACCCGATACGTCTAGTTTAACCATGAATAGCACTAAGAGACAATCCGGAGAAAACTGCTCATATGATGAAACATTTCATTATCTAGTTGAATAGAAACGTGATGAATCATATGCGTGTTCTTTGATGTGAACCATACTTCTTACAAAAGTGTTTCCATTTTTCACGGTAGTGTTAGTTATGCCCCGAGTTGTTATTTTAATAAATAGTGACACTTCTGGCCTACTTTTGTTATTTCGGGTAAATTAGTGTGGTTTTGAGAACTTTGCTTTAAAGGTCAGGTAAAGAGCCAGGGTTATAATAATTCTACTGTAAAGATCAGGTGCATTACCAAGGTTATAAGAATCCTGTTGTAAATATCAGGTGAAGTGCCAATATTATAAGAACCCTGATATTCCTCTCAAATAAACTATCATGTTTAAATTATTCTGGTTCTGCTAGAGTTAGGCGAACTACCGTAGTACTAATACATTGAGATGATCTATTAAGGTTTTAATTGCCCAATGCCTGCCACCATCATGTGGAATAACCTAGTTTTAAGCATCCTGATACTGTTGCCATAGAAGATCAGGTGAACTACCATTAATTTAGTATTGTGAGATGATCTATGAAGGTTCTAATTGCTCTCCGTTTGCTACAACCTTGCAGACTAACCTAATTTTAAGCATCCTGTTGCTACTGCGATAAGAAGTTAAACTTTGTTGATTCGAAGTATCCTGTTCATACTGTAATCAGTAAACAAGTGCAGCTTAAGTTACCTTGCTAGTGATACAGTTTTGTGAACTAGCCTGGTTTTAAGTAGTCATTTTCTACTACAATCAACTGAATTACTATGATTTTAAGTACTCTATTCCTGCTCCAGTTGAATGAGTTAATATTATGTTAAGAACCTGGCTTCTGCTTGAATAGAATAAGATACTACAATAAAATTAATGCAGAAATATTGGGACATATGTTCTCTAGTAAATGACATTCAGAGATATTTAGTATTGATAATCCTGAGTGTATTATGTTGTAGTACAAATGACGTTCAAGAACATTCAATGTTCACACTACGTACAATACTTCCTTGTTCAAGTGGCATTTAAGTAACATTACTGTTATTAATGTTAAGTTTATTATGTTCTTGTGTAAATGACACATACTAGTGTATATTGTGTAGTTTATATTCTTGTGTAAATGGCATATACTAATGTATATTGTGGGGATTATGTTCCTGTGTAAATTACATATACTAATGTACATTTTTTGGAATATGTTCTTGTGTAAATAACATATACTAATCTATAGTATATGGATTACGTTCTTATGTAAATATCATATACCGAGGTATATTGTGTGGATTATGTTCCTGTGTAAATTACATATACTAATGTACATTTTTTGGAATATGTTCTTGTGTAAATAACATATACTAATCTATACTATATGGATTACGTTCTTATGTGAATATCATATACCGAGGTATATTGTGTGGATTATGTCCTTGTGTAAATAACATACTAATCTATATTATGTGGATTGTTACCGAACAGGCTCACCTTTTATCCATGGAGGCGAAATAATGTGATTGTCAATCCTACTACACGTTGGTGAGAGAGTAGCCCAAGAGTTAGCTGTGGGTGTGTTGACTATCTGCCTTCCCTCTAGTCTATTACATTTAAATCAGAACAGATAGCCCCCCGAGTAGCTTTGTGAGAAATTCAAAAACAAAAATTATGTGGACTGTGCTTTTGCGTGAATGATATGTACTAATATATATGGTGTGAATAATCTTGGTTAACTTACCATGAAGCGTAACTAATATGTAGAATTGTAGACGGACTATTCTCTAAGTTAAAATGCTTTCTTTTATTTGCGAGCTTTAGGCCCTCTTACCGGAGTTTTCATTGGACAACAATGTACATTGTTCAGTACACTGTTGTCTGAAGAAAGCTTCGGTAAGAGGTCCGAAAGCTCGCAAATAAAAGAAAAGTATTTTGATATAGAGATCAGTTAGTGTATGATTCTACTTATTGATTTACCCACGTAATGAGTCTTAAAAACAAGTATAACCAATGTTAACATTATATTAATGGTACTTAAATAAGAAAACTAAAGTTAATACTTATAATTTTATGTATTATGTTTTTCTAAGAATAACATATAAATACAATTATTAATGATAATATTGGGCGTACTTTATTTTTTAATTGGAATTGGATTAATATTACTAGAGTAAATGTTATACATATTATGTTTCTGGGCAAATGACATTTAAGAACTATGATTATCATTACCATAAGCATGAGTAGAAATGTATTGGTAGGTGGTAATAACTGATCTATAAATAGCACTTAAAGTATAACGCTTGGTAATATGCAAATAATGATATTTTAACAGAAACGTGTATTTTCATATAGCAAAGCCACAGCTGGCTATCTGCTGTGTTCACCAAGGGGAATCGAACTCCCAATTTTAGCATTTGTAAAATCGGAGAGTTACCGCTGTCCCACCGGGAGATTTAACAGAAGCAGTTTACAAGCTACAGAAATATCAATTCATATAAGTTATAATGCCTAATTTGGCGAATGACTATATTTTTTCAAATGTACTGAACCAATGAAAGATGACGTTATATATATAGAAACATTTTTAATATATCTCTATTCTCCAGTATTGGGCTAAGGACACGTTTGAAAATATAACAATTTAGGTAGTCATAGTATTTCTTGAAATTTATATTGACAAATATTATAAGAACTTTTCTTATAATATATGGCTTTCTACTTTTTTATATGCTTATTCATTCATATCTTTAAATATGGTGGTTTTCATCGGTAGTGCAGATGGCAATACATTCCACATTTCAATAAAAATCGATTGAACAATATACATCAACTTAAATTATTGCCAATAAATTACAAAAAAATGTTCGTCTTTTGAATCAATCCGGTATAACGTACGCTTAGCATCAAAATTTCTCAATATATGGTATTGCACGAAAAAAAATCAAGACAAAACAGTTTAAAACTTAATGCCCTTTTCAAAAAGTTCTTCATTTTCTGCATAAACTATTCTTCTGTCTTAAAAAGTGCTATTTTCAGCATATATCACAATAAATTACAAAGAAATTCTCTCAATTCCCAAAATAAAAAGCAAAACAAATTTGGCCATTAAAAATGTCTATTTTTTCTGTCTGTTTATAGAAGGAAGAATATTTTTTGTAATTTATTGACAAAAACATCGAGTTTGTTCAGTTCGTTTGTAAGTTTCTTTACTGTGTTGGCATGGCTTGCTGGTTAGGACACTCGATTCACAGCCTGTGGGATCGAAGTCAGGCGCCGAGCATATTCGCCCTTTTAGCCGTGTGGGACATTATAATGTTACGGTCAATCCAACTACTCATTGGTAAAAGAGCAGCCCAACAGTTGGCGGTGGGTGCTATTGGCCGACTGCTTTCCCTATGGTCGGCAGTTGCTATGCCGTAAATAAAATAAACAAACACCGTTTTTTGTTGGTTTTTTTTACTGTGTTAAAAAACGATGTAACAGTAACTTAGTATTATTTTTTAGTCCCTCGGTGAATCAACCGTAAGTTTAAGGACTTACAGCGTTTAAGTCCGAGGCTTGATTTCCTGCGGTGGACAAAGCGTAGATAGTCAATTGTTTAGCTTTATTATTAACAAAAAATAAACAAAAATCTATTTCGTCACTGGGCTTCATGTACACATGCACGTACATAAGAACTGGTTAAAAACTGACAGATCTCGTGAAAATAATAAATATAAATCTATGTATATCATTACAAGTATTTTCTTCTTCATTTTCAGGGAAACCACTTTATGACCGTAAAGAAACGGAGTATAAACTAATTCTTACAGGTAGGTCTGAAGAGATTCAGAAAGTGTGGAATATCCACCTGTTTTAATATATCTTGACGGATCATAACTGTTCAAATTCCTGAAGTCCTTATTATTTAATAACTTATATGTACGTACGCTTTTTTTTGCAGATCAAAATTTAGGACAGTATGTTTTATGTATTTCAGCCCAGTCGATTTTAACAGAAGACGCAATTATGCAAAATTGTAAAAAAAACATGAGAGCTGCTTTAATTCACGATCAATTCATTGAGTTTATTTCAAACAAAAAACGCGGAGTTTACTTTAAAAACAGATGGCAGCAAATCCATGCATTTCAAAAGCTCGCCACAAAAAACAAAACAAATAATTTAACGTTTCAGTACAAGCTGCATTCTGTCCTCTACTATTTCTATAAATTCTTCAACATGCATTTCAGTCATCTACCATCCACTGTAAGACACCAGTAATACAAAATGTGAAAATACCTATTGTTAGAATTATCGAACATTTAAAATATTTGTTTGTTTGTTTTGTTTTGGAATTTCGCGCAAAGCTGCACGAGGGCTATCTGCGCTAGCCGTCCCTAATTTAGCAGTGTAAGACTAGAGTCATGGCCACCCACCGCCAACTCTTGGGCTACTCTTTTATCAATGAATAGTGGGATTGATAGTCACATTATAACGCCCCCATGGCTGAAAGGGCGAGCATGTTTGGTGGGAAGGGGATTCGAACCTGAGACCCTCGGATTGCGAGTCTAGCGCCCTAACCACCTGACCATACCGGGCCCTAAAATATTTGTATTGGACTGTTTAACATATAAAGCAGCATATTAGATACTATTAATTAATTTCTTTTAGAGGTCATTTATGTTCCACAACACGTATTGTAACTATATATTTACAGATCATAAAGAACAATTTACAATCGTCGTTCTTTTACTTCATATTTCATCGAATACACTAGGAACAGAAGTTTCAGAATTTAACGAATCAGTGTATAACTCAACGCTTCTAGAATAATTTTCACGTAAAAACTTATTACGTCAGTTGGTTAAATACGTTCATCAAAGTTGAATTAACTCATCACCTGTCTGATTACATAAAAATACTGAATCGGCCTCTTATAACTCATACATATGATTTGAAACTATATTGGTCTACATGATACCCGTAAAATTTAAATAGATAAAACATACTTAAAGAAACATAAAAGTCCCACACAGGTACACTACTTATAATGTATGTTATACTGAGATTACATTTTCTCCCTGCAACATGTTTCCGTAAGATGTTGGGGGAAAGATCATACAAATCCTCCACTCCTCTTATGTCGACAGACCAAAATCCATTTTGCTTGACAGATCTATACAGGTATATGTTTGAACGGGATTGCTGTGATTTCAGTTTCTTGGACCACTGTTTTTCATGAAAACAGCTGTTGCTTTGGCTAAGAAAAGGAGATTTGTTGTGTTTCATTAGAAATAGAAGCACATGGTCAGAAGATTCCATTTCTTAACCAAAACTTTTATTTAGCAGATGAGAGTATTGATTCAGCTTGGCTTGGAGTGTAGTTTTAAAAACTCTTTTGTGAGAGTTTTTCTGCATTAATGAGGATCGTGAGTACCGGAACTGTGAATCCGAGGGTTCACGGTTCGCGTACTCTGCTGCAAAAATTCGCATCTCATTTTGGGATCATGAGTGTACTATAATAATGATGGCGAAATTCTACTATTCGGTCACAAAAGAGTAACCCAATAATTAACAATGGGTCCTATTGGCTAGCTGTTTTCTGTCTAGTATCTAGTCTACCGACTAAGGACAGCTATGTGCATATAGCCCTTAGGTAACTTTGTATAAAAATTCTAAAACAAACTAACTAGACACCAGAGTAGTGTTAATGTTGACGAAAATATTCATTGGCCAACTGATTTTAAATTTAGCTATTGATGACGATGAGAAGACGAAACTCCGAAACTTTGAAGAAACAGTTTTGTTTTTTGTTAGAATTATTTACACATTCTACTGTGTTGCCATAAATTAACATACATTTTGATTCTACAATCACAATTATATGATATTATTTTTCTTTATTATACCTGGTAAGATTGTGATATCACAGTTCAACAGAATAACTGGAAATACAAACTGTGCAAGATGTAACGCTCTTATGTAAGGCAAACTATTAGTAATTACTAAGCCAGCTGCAGTAAATATTCAATCCTATGATTCGATTATTTATAGAAAGTGTTATTTGAAGGTAATGATACCACTGTTCGCACTTGACTTTTAAATAATAAACAGAAAATTAATACATGATTAAAATGTTTGATAGTTTTCGTCGATTAGACTAAGACATTGACTAAATTAGACCCCCTGACTAAGACTATACTAAGACAATGACTAAATTAGACCCCCTGACTAAAGCTAGTCTAAAACAATGGCTAAGTTAGATCCCCTGACTAAGATTGGACTAAACATCCAAAAGGTTGTTGTCAATTTATTTTATATTATTTCTAAACTCGCACTACACCAGAGACATATTTCTTCTATAGTATCAGTTTTTGTGACTTTTCTATGTCATAAATCTTTTCACCAAGGCACGTGTCCTTAAAACGTGCTAATCACCAGCCAATTTTAATTTATTAATAGAGCTGCCGGTAAGAAGGATATTAAACTTTGTACAGTTTAAACAAAGACTGAACTATTATCGCTGTTAAGTTACTTGCGTGTTACTTACGGGTTATTTGTGCACTGAGAATTAGTCTTTGGTTACTCCTACATTAGTCATCCTTTGCTATATAACAATACACCATCTGATTCAGTACTTACATTTCATATAACACGAGTTATTGACAGTTTCTCGTTATCATCTTCTAAGGATTTTTAATTGTTATTTTACGTTTATCAAACTATGTGTTCCTACTCTTTAATGGAATAGTTCCGTACAGTCGTCAGTGAAGCACAGTCGTTATTAACAGCTATTTGAACAGCTCCCTATTATCATCTTTATCTACATCCATGACTTTTGTTTATTACTGAAGCTACATCTAAGTCTCCGATAAGATATCAGTCTGTCCAAGTGTTCTCAAAACTTTATTTTCAGAATAGATAAAAAGTCCACACATATTGTTTTTTTATTTTGTGTTACTGGAATTTCCTCGGTTATTTACCTATTTCCATGGATTCTTCCGTTTGTACCATTGCATTTTTCGTTTGCAAATAAATGGTATGTGAAGAACTAATTTTTTAATAGACAATTTTGTGTTATCGGTACCTATGTAGTATATCCTATTCCTCCTGGAATCTTTTTGTTTTACTGAAATCATCATCATCCAAGTTATCTTTTTCCCCAGGATCGTTGTTATTAAAAGCTATTTACCCTCATGCAATGGAATTATTTTTTATTCATGGTATCATTTTTGGTAGATTTTTCTTCCTCTTCTTTGCTTTCAAGTTTAATATTTTCATCGTTTTTTATGGTTAAGGTGTTTCCTAAAACTCTGCAATTTACAGCATATTAGAAAAGCAATGTGTTATGTACATCGTCAAATAACTGAAACATATTTTTCATTTCACACTCAAAATTATCATGAGCTACTCATGAATCATAGTGTGCCAGTCGAAAACATTGTTACGTGTAAAACCAACAAAATTTGGAAATCATCACAGAACTTGCAGCTAGTAGCAGCATATTATGTTCGTTGAATTGAGAGTAACAGCAGGTAATCCGAAGTTCCTGTGCATATGCATGACACTGGCTTAAACGAGATGCATAATGTAACACCACAATTTGCCCTAGAACATTAACACTATCGTTCATATTTTATTACATTAAGCACATCGTCACAGTTTCTGTTATCATGTCCAACTAAATTGAATATGCTATCACAATCTTGAATACGTTATTTTCTTTGATACGTATACTAAATCACCATAGACCTTCTATAATGAAATATTTTGCTGGCATATAAAATCATATCGAACAAACTCTATCATATCGGTGACAGTTTGGTTGAGGTACATTTAAGAATGTCACGTAAGCAATAAAGATGGGTGACAAAGCAATATTAGTAGTTATTTTCTGGTTTTCAATGCCAGTTTTTGGCCAATTAGATCTTCTCTCCATTGGTCATTTTCTTGGATATTTTGAAACTAGTGGACTTTCTCCTTAGACAATGCCTTCATTCCTCGAAAGTGTTTTTTTTTCTCCTCAGCAAATCGTACATTTTAATATCTCGGGAAATATAGAAATAGAATAGGTGTGAAATATTATACCTCAAAATGTTAGAGTGAAAGAGTTGAAAAGGTTATGCATGAAATGAAAAAAAATCAACAAGTGGTGAGTTTATCGTTTTTTAAAGGAGATTAAATTGTTTATATTAGTAAAGAAATATTTATTAGAGATGATGCTGTGAACGACAACAAAAGAGATACGGTGTTGTATCGTTGATGCTGTGAACGACACCAAAAGCGATATGGTGTTGTATCGTTGATGCTGTGAACGACACCAAAAGCGATACGGTGTTGTATCGTTGATGCTGTTAACGACAACAAAAGCGATACGGTGTTGTTTCGTTGATGCTGTGAACGACAACAAAAGCGATACGGTGTTGTTTCGTTGATGCTGTTAACGACACCAAAAGCGATACGGTGTTGTTTCGTTGATACTGTGAACGACAAAAAGAGATACGGTGTTGTATCGTTGATGCTGTGAACGACAACAAAAGAGATACGGTGTTGTATCGTTGATGCTGTGAACGACAACAAAAGAGATGCGGTGTTGTATCGTTGATGCTGTTAACGACACCAAAAGCAATACGGTGTTGTTTCGTTGATGCTGTGAACGACACCATAAGCGATACGGTGTTGTTTCGTTGATGCTGTGAACGACAACAAAAGAGATACGGTGTTGTATCGTTGATGCTGTGAACGACAACAAAAGAGATGCGGTGTTGTATCGTTGATGCTGTGAACGACACCAAAAGCGATACGGTGTTGTTTCGTTGATGCTGTGAACGAC